TCTTTATACACATTTTGTTTTGGATATATATCCATATAGGTGTGATTTGGTGATTCATTCCGTTTTATTATTCATTGCATTCTATTGTAATATATACATAATAGTTTACTGTTTATAGATATCTGATATTTCTGGCTTGGGCATAGAAGAATATATATATACATATATATTTTTTTTCCTGGTGTTTGTATACGTATGTATATATTTCTCTTGCTTGAGCATAAGATAGCCATATGTTCAGCTTTAGCAGATAATACTTCCTCTCAACACTAGTGTGTGCTCTATATACTCCCTAACTTCTGGTTGAGCAGTCATTTTCTGTTTTTGTTTTTTTATTTATATGTTTCTTGTGACAGTATCTCAAACTGTACCCTAGGCTGACCTGGAACTCACTATACAGCTAAAGCAGAACTTGAACTCATAACAATCCTCCTCCTTCAGTCTCCCACGTTATGGGATTATAGGCATGTACCACTACCACCTCACCTGTTTTCAGTCTTTCTTATCCTACTGTTTTGGTAGATATGCAGAGGGAGAACATTTTGGCATTAATGACTAATAAAATTCAACATCTTTCCATGTTAATATGTTAATGGCTTGTGGATTCTTTTTTTTTTTTTGAGACATGACCTTCCTCTGTAGACCAGAATGAATCTATAACTCATTATATAGCCCAGGTTCTCAAGTGCTGGGATTATAAATATGAATCATTATGTCTGACTTGCTGTTTTTAAAAGAGAAACGTCATATTATGTAGCCAGGGCTGGTGCTGAATTTGCAATCCTCCTGCTTCAACCTTATGAGTATCCATTTAAGTAACTGAGTTGCATGTACTTTACTCTTTTTTTTTCTTTTTTCTTTTTGAGGCACAGCTGTGCTGGAACTTGCTACATAGACCAGGCTGGTCTGGATCTCATAGAGATCTGCTGGCCTCTGACTACTAAAGGTGTGTGCCACCATGCCTGGCAACAATTACTAATTTTGACACAGTTCAAATGACCAGTCATTATTTTTTAAAGTTAAAAATGGTTCCTTTGGAAATTGGAGAGTTAGCTCAGTGTTAAGAATACTGGCTGCTTTTGCAGAGGATCCGGGTTCAAGTCCCAGCCCCCACATGGCAGCTAACGACCATCCATAATACCAGTTCCAGGGGAAATGTGACACCCTCTTCTAACTTCTTAGGGCACTGCACAAAAGGGATGCACTTACATACAGGCAGGAAACATAAAAATAAAATAAAACACAGTAAATAAAATATTTAAAAAAGAGAATGGTACCTTTTATGCCTTATTCAAGAAGTATTTGTCTACCAAAAGGTCATGAAATTATTTTCTATACTAAACCATGGTAAAGAGTACACATATCAGAAATATCATACTGGAAGGTAAAATGCTTAAAATATCACTTGTTGGTCACTGGAAAATTAAATTATAATTAACAGTTGTTTATATGCAGTAACAGTTACATGTTATAAGTGATAAAGATTATGTAAAATGACAGAATGTTTAAGAATGAGTATGATACAATAATATTTCTGTTTGTGAAATGTCTAAGATGTAGAAAAATTTGTGTGTGTGTGTGTGTGTATTAACTGTATTAACGTCTCATTTTGTTTGTTTATTGTTGTTGTTTTGAGACAGTCTGACTATATAGCTCTGTTTGGTCCAGAACTTGCTATGTAGATCAGGACCAGCCTTGAATTTAGAGCTACCCTGCCTCCGTAATGCTGAGATTGGAGGTGTGTACCACCACACCTGGATATTAGTTTGGATATTTAAAAACAAATTTTTTTTTTTACAGAAAAACATCATAATGTGACCTTGTGCAGAATATATCTGAATATAGTCTTTAATCATTTATCTTTAATCATTTAATCATTATTGATTAAACATAGTGTTAACTGATATACTATTTCAGAGAATAAGAGTGAGGATTAAATAATTTTTAAAAAGTTCATATAGTACCAGGCACACAGAATGTTTTCAATAAATGTTACCCAATAAATGTTAGATTTAAAAATTGTTATTGTTACCTAAAATACCTGTACCATGATGGGAGGTAAATTAGAAAAGTTGTCTTCTACAAGACTCTATATAGTTACAGGAAGTAAAATAACTGTTTTCTAGTTTCTAGATAACAAGATTCATTATACCTCCCTTCCCTGAATATTTACTGAAGCATGTATAAGAATGTTCATTGGCAGCATTAGTCATAATATTCCCAACTGGGAAATGATCAGATTGTTCACCAACAGAAGAATGAGTCACTAGTTTATGAGATATACATTCTGTGGAATATCATACGTTAATGGAATAAACTACAACAGCGTGGATGTTAGTGCAACAATATGAATTTCACATACAATGTTAAGGGAAGGAAGGCAAGTACAAAAGAGAACATTGTAAACTAATTGCAAACTAGAGAACTGTAAACTAATTCATGGCAGTACAAATGGGAAGAGTACTGCTTATCTTTTGGGAAGGTTAATTACTGGAAGTGGGCATCAGCTTCGCTGGCAACAATACTAGGTAATGTTTTAGATTAATCTGAGTTTATCACATTCTATACTTAAGATCTAGGTACTTTTACATACTATATTTTGTTTCAATAAAAATTCTGTTAAGTGGTGGTGCATGTCTTTAATGCCAGCACTCAGGAAGCAGAGGCAGGTTGATCTCTGTGAGTTTGAGGCCAAAAAAAAAAAAAAAAAAATCTATAAAAAAGTCTCCTATTTTTGGAGAACATAAACAAAATACTGCAGTCACACAACAGGACAATAATACATTGTTAATCTATTCTTAAGGTTTTAAATAAATTTTGTATGTATATACATACACAACCATCTTGAAACTCACATTAATTTCCAAAGATTTCTAAGAAATAATGTAAGTAAAAGACAAGGTTAGTTTGTTTGTATATGTATATATGTACATATGTATGTACGTATGTGTTTTGTGCCAGGATCTTGCCCTATAACTCAGAATGGCCTGAAACACAGTCCTCCAGTGTGCTTGGGATCACACATGTACATCATCACATGGGGCAAAGCTAGTTTAATTTGTTCAAACATAAAATCATTTACAAGATGAAACTGCTAACACTATAGTAATAACTCAGTACAAGGAAGAATGTGTAAGCTCATCAACTAAAATCTAAGTTCCTAAACTAAAGCTTCTCTAAGAAAGGAAGTGCTACAGATTTAGTAGAATAAAGAACAATCAGGAGTATTTACTACACTTTGATTTGCAGTAGCAGAAAAGTTGTCACAAATGACTGGACATCTTTTAATTTTTTTTATTTGTGTGTGTGGGTATACATGAGCATATGAGTGCTTCTTCACATATGTTTGGAGGCCAGAGAACAACTTCAAGTGTCATTCCTCAGAAATGGAGTCATTTATTTTTTTGAGATAGAGTTTCTTATTGGCCTGGAGCTCTCTTTAAAGTTTCTTTTAAAACATTTTATCATTCATTCATTCATTCATTCATCCATTCATTCGCCTTTTTGAGAAAGGGTCTTCCTATAGCCCCAGTTGGCCTGAAACTTGCTATGTAGACCAGGCTGGCCTCAATCTCAGAGATTTCCCTGCCTCTGCCTCCTGAGGGCTTGATAACTATTTTTATGTGTATGAGTATTGTGCCTGCATATATGTAGGTGCACCAGATGTGTGCAATGCCATGGAAGACAAAGGAGGGTAGAACCCCTGGGATTGTATAATGGACAGTTGTTAGCTGCCACATGGGTGTTGGGAACCAAACCTGGGTTCTCTGCAAGAGCAGTCAGTGCTCTTAACCAGTGAACCATCTCTCCAGCCCCAAGTATAACTTTTCAAAATGGTTTAGTGGCATCAAACTCAGGTCCTTGAGCATACATAAGTACTTTACAGCTGGGCATGGTGGTGCAAGCCTTTAATCCCAGCACTTGGGAAGCAGAGGCAGGCAGATCTCTGTGAGTTTGAGGCCAGCTTGATCTACATAGTGAGTTCCAGGCCAGCTTGGGGTACAGGGAGACCCCGTCTCAAAAACACCAAAAAAAGAAAGGAAGGAAGGAAGGAAGGAAAGAAGGGAGGGGGGGAGGGAGGGACAGGCTTAATTTACATCAATATTTATTAGATCAATACTCACCAATTCTTTTCTAAGTTGAATAAAAAATTGTTTGCATTTAAAAGAAATTTTTACAATCTTCAACCTGCATAAAAGAGAATTAGAATATTTAAAATACTGACTAAGGAGAAATATTAAGAAATTGGGAATATTTACAATTTTTTAAATTTTGTTGTTATGTGTTTTGAGACAGGGTTTCCCTGTAGCCCCAGCTGGCCTGGAACTCACTATGTAAACCAAGCAGGTCTGGATCTCACAGAGATTTGCCTATCTCGGCCTCCCCCTTCTGGGATTAAAGGAGTACACCATTGCACCTAGCCTAATAATATTTTTGGTTTTTGAAAGTTTCATACATTTATATAATGTATACTGATCATATCTATCCACCCTTACCTCCCTCTAGTTCCCTTCACTCTCTTCCTCCCAACTTTTTATATTTTGTTTTTGTTATTAGTCAAATTAGTACTGCCCATATGCACATGGGTTTGTAGCCATGATCTATTAAGTATGTTTATTACTGTCTAAACATTGTATCATAAATTCTCTACTGACAAATCAATGCAAACATTATGTGTTTTATGGAAAACTAACAAAAATCTATGTGCTCAATTGAGAAAAATTTTACCAAAATATCTGTGAATTATACATTTCCCAATGTTTCTATCTATAGAAACACACTACAAATTAAAATCTCCAATCATAAATATAAATATTATTTGTATCTTTAATACTACAAAGCACATGTAAGAAAAGATGTAAGATTTCAGGGTTTTGCAAGGGCCCCAAAACAGTTTTGAACTTTAAAAGGCATATTTTTATTTTACCTTTCTATACCACCTTTTAAAAAAAATATGTGCAACTTATATAAAACTATGATTTCTCAATGAACCATTAATATAATCAATGACCCAGGCTGGTTTGATTCCTTATAATGATCATATAAACAGTAACTCAGATCTTTCCAAACCTTAAGACCTAAGGGCTACAAGGCCAAAGAGATCGAATCTTAGTGAGATTTAACTGGGACCAGTTTTCTTTTTAAAAAATTTTTCCTGATTTATTCTTATTTTATGTGTATGAGTGTTATGCTTTCATGTATGTAAGTGCACCTATATCATGCAATGCCTGTAGCAGCCAGGAAAGAGTGTTGGATCCTCTGGACCTGGAGTTATGGACAATTGTTAGCCACCATGTGGGTGCTGGGAACTGAACTGGGGTCCTCTGAAAGAGGAGTGGATGCTCTTAAACACTGAACCATCTCTCAAGCCCCGTGGAACCCAATTTTCTAAGAAATATTTTCATAGTAATTATACGTTTTGATCTTCATTACTCATATCTCACCTACCAAGCAGGTCTGAGTATTCTCAATAAAGAAACTTAAAAAGATAAATGCACCAGTAAGATTCAGGCAGAGTCACTAACAGTGGGAAAGAAGACAAGCCTAGTTTATAGGTTTGAAATTTACTTGCACTGATGGAGACTGAGCCCAGGCACTTGTTAGGCAAGAGTGCTTTGCCACTAAGCAATATTTCCAGTCATAGATTTGAAAAGTTTTTATTCTGCTTTTACAATTTGGGCTCTCACTGGACAAGAGATATGACAACATAGATTCCTTTCTCAAAGAGGGCACTCTTTCTAGAAAGTGAAAAGAAGACTGAGTAAAATACAGGCTGTATTTATGGAAAGAAAGTAAGCCACTTAAAAACCTATAAAGAGCTAACATATTTCTTCAGTTATATATTAATTAACATTAAGAACCATCACACAAACAACAAATAAAACAGAAAATGTCAATCATTTCTAATGACTGAGAGAAAAAAATATAATCCAATTTTCAGTCATCTTAATTTAAAAAAAGCATCAAAAACCACTTCTATACTGGATGTTCTTTATCATAAAGACTAGCTTGTATGACTTGTACTTTCTTATATTCTGTATGACTTTATTCTGTACAATGGCTACTTTAATAAAAAACTTATCAAACAATTAATAAAATCTATTTTGTGTAATAAGCCAGTTGTAATAGTTTTCCTTTCATTTCTGTATTTTTGGTTTATCTTTTACAGCAAGTTCAATCATTCTGTCTCTGTATATATGGTTCATTAGTAGACATTAATTTTTAAAAACCCATCTGAGTAATTCAAAGAAAGGAGATGAAAGAACAATTGGTATATACGAAAAGATGCTCAACATCATTAATCATGAAAGAAATGAAAATAAAAACTACAGCGATGAGAGAGGCTGGTGAAATTGACCTAGTATAGACAATCAGCAGGGTTGGAAAGTTACGCAACAGTGAGAAAAAAGTTTGACAATTCCAGGATTTCCAATCCTTTGTATATGCCCCAAAGAAATGAAAAGATACTTCCATAACAAAACTTATAAAAATATGCAGGGTATCACCAGTTTTAACAGTCAAAGGTACAACTGGTGAAATGAAACCAAAATGAGACATAATTACAGAATAGAATATTATTTAGCAATAAAAATGAACACAGTATTGACACATGCTACAACATAGATAAATCTCAAAAACACGCAAAATGAACATCTCAAAAAAAACCACACAGTATATGACCTGAGGTGAGTAGGAGGCAAAGCAAGGGATGGGGAATGATTTGTAACACACTATCTTTTGGGAATAATGAAAATGATTCAAAATTATATTGTGGTGATATTGCACTCTATAAATGTACTACATACCACTGAGTTATGTATTTTAATAGTGAATTTCACAAAACACATATTTGTACAATAAAGCTGTTTTAAAATCCGTACTGATAATCTGCCTCTTTCAATTTGAAGGTTTGGTTGTTGTTTTTTTTTTTTTTTTTCCTGAAGTTTCTTGAACATTCTTACAAGGTAGGCCAACTAGTAATAAATTCCTTTAATTTGTTTATTTGAGAAAATCTGTTTCTTTCTTCTGAAAGAAATTTCCTCTGAATGTGTGTGAATACTTCACCTATCACTCTTCCTTCTTACAGTTTCTTTAAAGAGAAGTGCAGTTTGATTTGCGGGGTGTGTGTGTGTGTGTGTGTGTGTGTGTGTGTGGTGTTTTTGAGATGGTCTCCTTGTACACCCAGATGGCCTGGGACTCACTGTGTAGACCAGGCTTGCCTTGAACTCACAGAGATCCACCCACCTCTGCCTCCTAAGTGGTGGGATTAAAGGTGTGTACCACCACACCTGGCTGTAATTTGTTGCTCTTATTTTGGGGTAAAAACGATATTCTTGACATTTTGTTTCAAGATTTTCTGTCTTTTAGTTTCTTTTGCCTTTCAGCATGCTTTAAAATTTGCTGCTGGATCCAGACGTGATTTACTGACTAAAAGGAACTAATAAATATTCCTTAATTGAAGCTTTATGTTTATTTTGCAAAACAAAACAAAAAAAGCTGTTTGCTGTCTACTGTGAGGGTTTACAAAGTCCCTTGGTATCCTTATTTTTGTCTCTTTTTGTTTTTGGGTTTCCCTAGAGACTCTTTGAATGGCCTTCCTTCAAGTTTTTCACTTGTAATTCCTTGTTACTATGTAGGAGTCTGGTTGTCAGGGCTTGTAAGGTATCACTGTTTAACATTCTGATTAAATCTAAGTGGTTTAGTGGTCCATGTCCCTTGGCTCTCATCTTGAAAACCAGGACTGGCACCTAGTGCTTAAACTCACAAAGATTAAAGACTCTCCTATGGCTTGGTCCCCCACAAGTTTTTTCTCAATCTAGTCCAAACCAGCTACCCAGTAGTCACCTACACTTTAAGTATTCCTGACAGTTCCTGGCTCCAGTAGCAGCTTCTATTCTTCATCATTCTTACCACTAACCTGTCTCTCCAGTTTTCAATGCAGCAGTTTACCCAATGTCTCATATTCCAGGAAGGACCTAAGGATAGTTGTTTGTTTTGTTTTTATCAGGACTCTCCTTGTGTGGGCACAGAAGACTCAACACCTTACATAATCAGATTGGGAGGCAGAACTTTCTGTCCCTCTTTTCCCTGCCTTAATGTTTTAATATCAATTTTGTTGTACTATGTACTGTTGCAAATAACTGGGAAAAATCCTTTATGATCCATGGTTATATGGGCTTAGTAGCTCTAGCAACTTTAAATCCCATCTACTTGGTTTAACTATTGAAAATAAAATTTAAATTAATATTTAAAAAATATTTTCCAGGCTGGAGAGATGGCTCAGCAGTTAAGAACACTGGTTGATCTTGTAGAAGACCATGGTTCGAATCCCAGCACCCACATGGCAGCTAACAACTGTTCGTAACTCCAGTTCCAGGGGATCAGACAGCCTCTTCTGTCCTCTGTAGGCATTGCACGACACTAAAATATTTAAAAAACCAAATAATGAAAGTGAACTTTGAAAATATTCATTGGGTTTTTATATTTTATTTATTATTTTTATTTTATGTGTATGCATATATTGCCTGCATGTATGTGAGTGCACCTATGTCATGCAATGCTGTGGAGGTCAGAAGAGGGCTTTGGATTCCCTTGGAACTGGAGTTAAGGATGGTTTGTTACCACCATGTGGATGCTGGGAATTGAACCCGGGTCCTCTGCAAGAGCAGACAGTGCTCTTAACCGCTGAGCCATCTCTCCAGCCTCTATTGTTTGGTTTTAAAACCTAACTCATATAAGGCCTTGGACATACAAGTAATGTTTCCCACTTTAAACTAACTTAAAGAATGCTTAACTAAATAATAGTGTACCAATTCCTTAACATATAAAATGACTAAGATTGTTTACAATTCAAATCCAATTTCTCCCTGAAAGAACATCTTTCTAAATTCTTGTTTTCTTCCTTCTTTCCTCAATCAAAATGGCCGAAGGAAGAAAACAGCAAACAAAATAGCTCATCATTTCATACACTTTCATGTTCTTTCTGACTATCAGTCAGTGACAAATTGTTGATTACTTCCACTTAACTGCTGTACATATCAACACTCTCTTCCCTTCTAACTGAAGAACCTTCTCTGTATCCTATAAAAGTCATGTGAACTATCATGGAAGTTAGTAAAATAGTTCACAGACATTGCATTCTCTTCTGTTTCCACAGCAGTGTCAGCAACTCTTCAAGAATCCTTATT